CCTCCCGCATCATCATTGAGGTCTCCGTTTCTCCATGAAGTGCCACAGGGGGGGGGGGGAGCGCTCCAGAACTCTCTTTTCAACAAGCCTGCGCTGCCCGTTCTTGGGCGCAGCCCCTTTCAGTTACTGATTGGAGGATGGCAGAGGACTGGCCTTGAACAGTTAAACTACGGCCCACGAGCCCGGAAACCTAACACGAGTTCGAGGCTTCGACTTCTGAAGTCAACACAAGTACCCACATCTTCTCCACACAAGGGTGGTGACTTCTGCAGCATCATCCGCTCTCCGCCCCGGCTCCCATGCTACTAGGATCTTACTTGCGTATACTTGCGCGAGAACGTCTCTCCAAAAACGGATCTAAGCATGCTTCATGCCTTAGCCATTTGCTACAGGCCAAGAGCACAGCTCAAAAGACACGTGGGCACAAGGTGAGCTCAAGTCAAGAAGCAAACTGGCACAGCGACCAGCAAGTACAATACCGAAAATGTCCTACATACTTGCAACCCCCCCCCGTCAACCGTGCTCCCTGTTCTGATAGACCCAGCACTTCAAGTCTTACCTGTACAGCAGCTTGGCAAACACATGGTCATGCACAAGTAAGGCACCAACTGCCGCAACTTGATGCTGCGTCAGGCCCATGTTCTTCCCGACCTGGCACGTCCGCTAGCAATTGTAGAAGGTTTGACGTCAAAGCGATGCTCAGCGGTCACTTGTGCAGAAACCTGTGCCTCCATGACAGAAGGGAAGCCTTCATTCTCGGCCCTTGACTTGTTCTGCGCATAGACCAGGCACTTGCCCACAGGACTGGCGGCTGTAGGACACGTGGTGTAGGCTCATAAATGAAAAGGGCACGCCTCTCGCAATTCTTCCACTTGTCCAGCAACTCAAATGCTCGCTCCTGCACCTTTCGAATAAACTGGTTTCTAAGATGTCGAATTGAGCAATCACAGCCAAGTTTACGTGCGCAATCTGTTTACGCGGATTCGCATCTTGCAAGTCCTTCTCAAAAGATACTGCCTGTCTCGCTGCTGATGCACGTATGACTATGGGTCATTTGAAGGGTGAACTGGCTCATATTGTTGCGATAGTCAGTCTTAGGTATCACACCTGCAGCAGCACTCGGGCTTTGCACAGAAAGGCCAGCGCTGGCCTATGCTGAGAAGTCGTACAAACGACCCTACTAAATTCACTCAGCGTTCCCTCTTGGCACGCAATTTGCAGCAACTCGGCCGTCAAGAAATGCACCTGCATAAGTTCGCATTCAAGGCCTCATGCGCAGCATAGAGACATAATGCTGCGCCGGACCTGGCCTGATGGTCTCAGTCATCTTGGTAGACCCAGCTCAGAATGTGCCGCTGGGTGGCAAGGGTGTCGGAATTGAAAGGGCCAAGGTGCCTCGTCAAAGTCCGCTCATTGCGCATACGTCAGCAATGGGTTTACACTCGGGGCAAAGCTTGCACTGTTGTTGTCAACTACTAACTCACGAAATTTAAGATGCCAAACACAAAGTCGTGCAAGCTGCCTCAGCTGATTTTGCAAAACACCACGCCAAAGCGCAAATGCTTCAGCAGATCGGTCCTGAAGCATGACAGGGCAAGCTGGACGGTGTCGATCGTGTTGTGAAATCCTGGTGAGTCCCTGCCTGCGTCGCCAGACTGACTGCCAGGTTGAACTTGGCCTTCAAAACGCCATGGTTCTGCTTTCCCAGCTTGCGCTCACCGCGGCGTATAGCTGCTTCAAAATTCTGAACCTCATTCAGGTTAAATGTACTATCCAAGTGTGCCCAAACAGCCAGTCCACATGATGCACAAGAAAAGAAACGAGCGTCCTCCGTGCATACTAAGGGGCCGCTTCATTGCTCCTCCCCTGCATCGCCTTTGTCCGCTTTGCAAAGCCTTGGGAACTGCGAAAGGCTAGGTGAAGTGGCATCTGCAGGCTGCTATGAGATGTTTGGCCTGAGTGTCAGCCTAGTGTGCTTCATGCTGCTCAAAGTACGGAGACTGCAACGCTGTCGTCCTAAAAAAAGCTACGTACACGATTTTAATCATGGCAAGGCTCGATTGATGGCAGAAGTCAGCTTGCTAAGCGCCCCCTGATACCGCCCGTGAACGTTGTATTGTCCTCCTGAGGAAAAGCCAGGAAGGACACGCCATCAGCACACAGTTCTCTACAGTGCGTCACCAAGTGCGTGCTTCCTTGCCATCCTTCGAGGCCACTGATTGCCTGGATGGTGGCCTGGGTATCGGGGTGGTCCGGCCCCATCATCGACACCTGTGCCTGGAAGACTTCCTGAGCCGTGCACACTGGGCGGTGCCTACACGCTGAAGAAGTTCTCTTCTAACTCGCCAGAAAATGCCCGGTCTGGAACGCAGAGAATGCTCAACTAAGCGCAAGCCAAAAGGAGACCTTCAGAATTTCCGGAAAACAACGATTTTTGTCGGGACCCCCGGTTGTTCCTGAGCACCCCCAAAAATGTTCAAAAAGCCTGGACTCAGGATTCAACTCAACTGCCATCAGGCCACCTCTAAGTCCAAGAGGGCCTCTGGCTTCGACATGCGCTGCCGGAGGGCTCCTCTGTGCCAAAGGGGTCTGGCGCTCTCCGCTCTCCTCTGAAACTCTGTGAAAAACTTTTGCATGCGGCAGAGCTCCTAGGTTGAGCCGGCTCACGAGCAGGTCCGGATCTGAAACAGGCAAAGCCTCAGCCAAGCACAGACATGGAAAATCACTCAAAACCGATCATGCAACCAGCCGTGAGGCCAGCACTAGGGTTGATTTCTCGAGCGCCCGCTTGAGAACCCACTCTGCTTGGTTGAGATTACCCTCGCCCGAGAGCTTGGATGACTTCCTTAGCTACAGCAATGCACCATAGCTTGTTCCTTGCTGGACTGTCTTGGTGCACCCTGCTCATAAGGCAGGCGGAGACCAAGCTGTGCAAAACGATGCGCGACACCCGCATGTATCCTTGACATTTCTTGACCCTTGCCCACCCTTGCTACGAAGAGAATCCGGACTGCATCAACGTTGGGTGTGTGGCCTGCTTAGCAGGACTTTCGACTACAGCAAGCCTGGTACTGAATGGGACCGGGGCACTCATTGGCTTTGATAAGCCTTTGGCGTGCCACGTTGTCTGCAGCATCTGGGAAGTTCCTAGCCAGGGTGACTGGACCAACTTGACTACGCATTTGCCTTGGGCCGCTGGAAGACGTCTGGGACAAGACCTGGTTTCCTCGGTTTTTTCTATCAAGGGTCTCTGCGAGGGCTCGGAAAATCCCGCTGGCATCTGATTAGCCCACTCCGCCTCAACACCCTGCAGATGAAGCCGTTATGATTTTGTTCTGACACGATGAAAAGGGTACGAAAGATTGCACTGGGCGATTTTCATGTGGCAGGCAGCCCGGCAACACGATGCAGGGCTTCCCGCTGGAAAATCCTGCTTCCTGCTCAGTCTGCATGTGATGTTCTACGCCACCCTTGTACATTTTCAGAATTACAGGCGCTCACAGGCTTGCGACAAGCCTGCCTGCTGTGAGCATGGCAGCCGAGGCGGACGCGCGCTAGATGTTAGCAATACCCCTTTGACTATTTAGCAGCCCAGGTTCGACATTGTCTCTTCAATCAGCTGCTCAGCCGATGGAACAGCATTACCTCGAAAGCAAATGCAAGGAACATGTTCACACACGTTTGCCTCTTTGCCACAAGGTGCACCACAACCAATAGCAAGGGTCTTTTGCGAACCCTGCAAGTTGTTTGCTGGGGCACTACTTTGGAGCAGGAGCTCGCGCATCTGCAGCGCCGCAGCCTTGACGCGAGCCTGTTGGCACAAGTACGGAAGGTGACTGCATGACTGATCTTGACATGTCAGAAGACTTCTGGCAAGTTGGAATGGGTTGTTAAATTGAAATCCAATGGCATTTGGGCTTCTTGATGTTTGAAGATGAGGCCCCGTCAGGCTAAAGGTACTGGTGTCTTATGATAGGGAGACACGGGCAAGCTAGAGATTTTAATTGCGATGCCTAGAATCACAAGAGCAAGCAGACAAGCCCGAAACGAGGTCATGCTTGACGGTGCCTCTTCCCTCCATCTTCGGCGGCCACGGATTACTTGCCGCAGCAAGCCTCTGCAATTCTCACTGGGAGCTAGGTGCCACGCAGGCAAGTGCATTTAGCTGCGCAGACAGTCACAAGAGAAGCCTGGCCTGTGGCCTCCTGGTGAATCCCTTGGCGACCCAGCAGAAGCGCCAGGCGCTCTTGCCAATCCAGCATTACCTGAGACATCACAAAGCTGAAATTCATGCAACTTACCTACAAACCACAATCAACTGCATCCACCTGCATGGACAGAACGGTGTGCCGGGCCATTTGGTTCACAGTGGGTCAAAGGCAGCAATCCTAGATCGCCTGTCACGGGCGGGGCGCTTGCGGCACATGCTTCCCCACCGTTGGTCTCTGCTCCCAATGAGATAGGAGCGTGCCAAGTACCCCCGGGTGACAGCCAGACAAATTTGGTGCCAAAGGGTGCAGCCACGGCGGGCAGTAGGAATTGCTGTAGAAGGGGCTAAAGAACAGCTTCACGCCGGAGCAGGGCCCTTTTGCTCGGAGTACTAATGCGCACACATTTTCCATGAGCAGAAGCTAAGAGGAGTGCTCAAGTCTGCACCTGGCCTTTCACGTAAAATGGGAGCTCCTCAGCTTCCACTGGCTGACTTGCCAGCGTGCAGTGCATAGTACATCCAGCCAGATAACGAACTTGTAAATGCTCAGTATTTCTGGTGTTGAAGCCATAGACAAAAATGTCTCTTGGCATCTCTTGGATGATCCCTGTCGCGTCAACTGTCTATTACTTTTCATCCAGTGCAGGAGCAGAGACTATCCATCCAATGCTGGCGAACCAGCTCATTTGCCGGGGGGTATCATCTGACAAGGTGCAGGATTGTGAGCCCCAAGGGCCTTGAAGCCGGCCGCCACCGCATCTTCGAAGATTGGTCGAGCTTCGGAAACGCGATCCTGATCTGCCAGGAATTTCCTTGGTCAACCCAAACCAGCTGCAAGGCCCACAAGGCAAAGTCACCACTAGCTTATGCAACATAGCGTGGTAATAGCTGCAACCATGTCGCGCAAGTGCCACTTTCCCGAACAGTGTATCCTGAGTAGTTCATGCAGACCCACTGCTCCGGCCTGCAGAGCTGCCATCTACGACAGGCACCAACCTCGTGATCCTCAGCATGATAATCAACCTGTGGTCAACACTTTCGTGTTGTTCGTGTTGCCCTCGTAGCCCCATCTCCAGTCAGCACAAAACAACGTTCTCCAATCTGGCTTCAAGGCAACGCTTTTTTGGGGGGATGAATTTTCCGAGACGTGTCACCTCGCATCTCGTCTGCAAGCAAGTGGCAATCTTCTGCTCTCCCAGCTCAGCGTGCAGCCCGTCAAGTGCCCAGCGCAAGAGATCTTCTGCCTCTTGCATGCGCCCTTGCTCTTTGAAGCGCTTTGCCAGAACAAAGGCATACCTCCAAGCTTCAGGGTGAAGTGGCAGGTATACTTCTTACATCAAGTCTGAAGCAGCATGTACAGTAATGTTACCAAGAAGGAATCGCTGTCGCTCGGGCCCAGCACCCACAACCCGGAAACAACACCCAGAGCCCGTGAAATCCCCATCATTCTGAAGGCAAGCAATCTGGAGGCATCAGCCTACTGCGCATAGGGTGATGGGGTGCTAGGAACCAGCGGAGGTACAAGCACAGACCCAGGCCATCCGTCAAATGAAAAAGGACCCCGGAGCCCAAGAGCCCAAGGTTCCTTAGCAGACCCGTGCTGTGACATATCTCAAAAGCATGCTATCACATCCTTCAACCCCCATCTGCCGTGGACTCGCTTATGACCTTCTTCATTTGTATGTGTATAAAGTCGGCAGAGTAAGCATGAGTAAGCTACACACAACCTGTCCTGGCAAGCTTAAACAATGCTGGCTCGTCAAGAAGTGTCGCACAGAATCAGGAAAGCTGAATGATGGAAAAAACTGCGTGATGGCAATCAGCTGAGAGCCTGGAGGTCCCAGCTTCTCGAAAATCTTTGTTCGCGGCCAGGTACAGGCTGTTCTCGTAGGCGTGCCGCACCGACTTGGCGCGACGGATGCACTCAACAAATCTCATGCTGTTGCCGGACTGTAACCCACGTTCGAGGCGAGCGGCTGTTAAGTTCAAAGCGGAACCTCGCGTCCGGCTACATTCTGCTGCGAGTGCTGCCGAGAAGGTCTCGTTCCGGATGGATGCGGGAAGGTGAGCCAAGTGAAGCACCTGGAAGTTGTACAAGGCACTTCTAGTTCCCGGGAGTCACTTCTAGTCCTCTGCTTGCCAGGCGACTGGCTGTCGTTCTGCAGAAGCCAGGAGGGACACGGGGTGTGTCGCCTCGGGTGGCACCTCAACGAAGCGTCGCTTTGCCTCACAAAACGAAGAAGGGCAGCTGTCGGGTTGGGTCCAGTCTTTGCCGGGGTTTGTCACGGTTTTGGGATATTGAATCAGCTATTGCACGGAATGTGGCTGCTGCGCGTACACTACAGAGCTAAACGGCTCGGCTTGCTTCGGTGAACTGCTCGATTGACTGCCAACTCTTGACATCCTTCAAAGTGATCAAAGCTCAGCGCATTCAACAGAGTTGAATTAGTTTTGTGACTTGACGCCGCTGGATGCTCGCCTACATTCCGGTCAGCATGCCTGCCTCCAACGCATCAGAAACGAGCATCTCCCAAAAGGCTTCATCGTCATGAATTCCCTCATCAGAGCTTTCGTTCCTAACCTTCTCCATCAAGGCTATCGCCCAATCACTGCCTAAGCAACGGATTTGGAGTAAGAAGCTGCAGAACTCTCATCCGCCATCATGAGCTAAGTCACACCGCAGGAAGATCATGCCGAAGCTTGTTGCGCTCGCAGCCGTTCCATGCTGTTTGTCCTTGAAGAAACGGAATGCAGGGCAGGCAGCAGAGCACAACAGTTCCGAGGATTGGACAAAAATGTCTTGAACCGGCAGCAGGATCTGCGCATCGCTGCCATCAAACTGTTCAATGACCTTGCCAAAACAATCTGTGTGCGTCTAAGCTTGCTTCAAAAAATGAGAGGTTTACGAACACTGACACAAAGCTTCAAGTTATTTAAGTTGCTCCTGCGTATACAGCACGCAGAAAGGACTCTACACAAACACGCATCTCGGCCAAGCCTGCCCTACCTACCACCTTCGTCAACACAAAACAGTGCTGGCCTTGGCAATAAAATCGAGGCTGGCGTTTTGCCCCACCAAGATGAGATCGCCATCCTAAAGATCGGCCCTCCTATGCTGTTCTCTCTGACACCAGTCTAACCAAAGCAACCGCAGCCGAAGCACAAGCCACAACAGCCAATTTATGCCCTCTTGCTTGCACCTCCGCAACCAGTGTGGGATCACCTCACACACCGAGATGAGAACTTCTCAGAATGATCTCTTGACTTGACAGCAGTTGCCGCATGCTGTCATGTGAAGAGACTTCCATGAAGCTCAGCTGGCATTCCTCGCCGATTGTTCAGACTGCCGAAAGAGACGTGACAGGATTGGTGGTGATGGCAAGGGGGCGGATGAGGCAGAAGTAAGCTCATACAGCAAAAGTGGATGTTGGACGCTTATGCAGAAAAGACTACAAACAAAAGCACCGCAAATAGCATGAACAACCATGAGGATGATGATAGATAAGCATGACAGGCGATGATGAAAATGATCGTGATGATGATGATGACGATGATGCAACGGACGAGGGAAGGGGGAGGTAGGCGGCGATGATGGTAGTAACAAATATGATGACTATGACGCGGATGACAATGTTCATGGCTGTGGCCATATCATGGCAACCATGACGGCCCGAAAATGATGCTGATGCTGTCGTTGGCAACAATGAGGATGGCAATGACAAGCATGCTCGGTATGCGAAATAGCGATGAACTAAAATTGAAAGAAAATGAGTGATCATGGCACCTCGACGATTTTGATGATGACAATGAAGACCACCGTTACAATAAGGATGATGGTGGCGGCGGACATTCCGGCTGGCAGCCATGGGGTGATGATGGTCAAAACAGCACGCAATGTAGACAGCAGAACTGTGTAACATTGTGTATCAAAATCTCGGCCGTCATGACAAACGCTTACAAGCCATGGTAGCCAATGCTGAACATGATGATAGGACCACCGGCATGCATCCAGCAAGCGGACTCCCATGAAGCATTCAATCTTCACATAGCCTGCACTGCTTTGAGGAATAACGTTTTCATGTGAAGCTTTCACCCTACCCAACACCAACCCGACTGTGGTGGAATCAACAGCTTGCAAACTTCAACCAAGCTTCATAAGATGTATTCATTACGTTGAGCTTGGCAAAGGGCTTTTCAGTGGAGGTGGTCTTCGAATAGGATGGTGTGATGGTGGTATTGTAATAGGATGTTGTGATGATTGTGGGAATGAGATGCAGGGTCAATGTGAGGTATCGGATATCTCGTGAATAGGATAGCACGATGATGCTACGATGGAAGGTTGTCGTGAAGTCTCGGATTAAGGTTGTCGTGAAGTAGCGGTCCGAGACTGTTGTGAATAGGATGGCACGATGGTCTCGGATTACGGTCGTCAAGAAGCATCGAATGGATGGATGTTTCGATGCTCTCCTGGACGGTCGTCGCGAGGTATCGTGTTTGCACGGTCTGTCAATTAACAAATTTAATACGCTTGAGAGCACAGGGAAGGCCGGCGGGAGCCCGCGCACTTCGCTAAAATCGCGCTGGCGAGTGGAGTGTCCTGGATGTCCTTGGAAATTCTGCGTGGAATCGACGACCCTCTCGGTGATCGCGTCCTCGCAATTCTGCACGGAATCGTGCGTGGAGTTGACGAACCTCTCGGTGTGCCCAGCATGTCGGGTCGCTGGCACGTGGAGCGGCCTCAGCACTCCGCGCGGGGCTTCAGGAGCGCAACGTATCGAATCGCTGGCTGGCACGGAGCGTCCTCCGAATTTGGTGCACAAGGGACGAGTGGACGAATGTTTGCGGTGCGCGACGCTTCGTGTCGCTGGCGCCTCCTCGGAATTTGGTGCGCAAGTGACAACTGCTGGGTCCTCAGAATTCTGCTCGGAATCGACGACTCTTTCAAGTATTTTTTTCGGGTCTGAGCGCTGGCACGCGGAGCATCCTCAAAAATTCTGCACGGAACCGAGAACCCCCTCGAAGCGTTAACCACTTTGCAGTACATTGCAGTACTGGAGACGCCGCTTCCGAAGCCTCCCGAGACCTTGCAAAGCTGTCCAAGCGCGGACTCGACCAAGTTGTAGTACAGCTTTGATTCTGAATGCGCTTTTCCATAGCCTTCCGAAACCGTCCGAAGCTGGTAGTTGTAGTACTATTGGTAATAAGAATCATAACAAGAACAACAAAAATGGCAATAATAACCATTATTAAAAACCATGCTAACAGTAGCTATACTTGAGAGTTGCGGTGGCTTGCAACCATTGGGATGTTGGAAATCTTTTTTCTGTGATTCTTCTGTGAGATTTCTGTGAGCGAACCTGTGAGCGGCACCTGTGAGCAGGGGAACACCTGTGAGCGGCGGCTGTGAGATTTTTGGAAGATTTCTGTGAGCGAGATTCTTGTGAGGTTTCTGCACGCGGTCCGGAGTTTGGTCAAAGATGTACGCATGCATTCCGTGATTTCTGCGAGCGGGCCGCTCACAGACCCCGCTCACGAGGGCCGAAATGGGTTTTCGCTTAGGAACGTCTCCATTTCCCGGCTCCCCAATCTGTGAGCGGGATCTGGGCGGGGTCTATGAGCGGGCCGCTCACAGGGTCCATTTCCCGGCTCCCCGATCTGTGAGCGGGGTCTGTGAGCCCTGCAAATAGGGTATCGTGAGCGCCCCCAGAATTGCAAAAGGGGTCTGTGAGCGGGCGAGTGTTCCCACGCAGACCTGTGAGTGGGACTTCACTTGCGAGATCTTGCGAGCGTCTCTTCACCCTTCCCAAATGCCTCCACCACCTCCGCCACCTATGGAACATCTGATGATGTATCTCCGGTCGAACACCTTACGTAGTTAGTTTAAAGTAACTACTTGACACGCGCCCGTTCCGGGCTGATTGAACATGTCTCACGACTCATGTCCGGCAATGCGCGGCCTGAAGCGAATCACTTTCGGCTCCTCGAACAAACACTGTCACAGAAAACTCACACTCATAGCTGTCAGAAAACTCTCAGCAAACTCACAGAATTAGTTCTTTTGAAGATCATCAGAGGTTGCAAGACTTGCAACCCTCAAAGCTATACTAATAATAGTAATAAGCGTCATCCTCATGAGACTAATAAAACTAGGAATCGCCGATCTCCGTTGCCTAAACAAAGGAGGCTTTTCGCTGCGCAGGCGCGGTGTTTTATTAAGATGTGACCCAAAGGCGCCTTTGGATCCGAAAACTTGCAGGCAAGTGAGAGGCCTACTTTCGCACTCCCAGTGAAGGGGCAGTGCTTTTGGAGATTCATCCAGGAAATCCTGTCAGCTTGGCCTGGGCACAAATTTAGCAAAAACAAAAAGGATTCGGAAGTGGCCGATCTCCCTGGCTTGAATGAAGGAGGCTTGAGCGCAGTGTAGGTGCACCGCCACCCCTGCTGTTGTTAAACATGACCCCGTATCACATGAACATGCATCTCATCAACAGTTTGCAAAATTAAGGGGGCTGCGCCCTCCCAACCCCCTCATCAACAAGTGTCACGTGTCCTAATGGCGTGCAAATCAGGGGGAGGTGCACCAATCCCCACCCCTCCACTTTAATCAAGCGCGAACACGTACTGTATGACATGAACCCGCTTTTCATAAACAACTGCCACCCTCCTCAAAGCCCCCACTCTTTTCAAACATGAACCCGCATCATGGCGAGTGGTGAATCCCCATCAACAACTGCCACTCATGAACGACGGCCACATTCCTTAATGGTTTGCAAATAGGGCCACCCCAACCCCCCCGGTTGTTCAACATGAACCCGTACCATAACAAAATAGTGAACCCTCATGAACAAGTGCCATATCCCTCAATGTTTTGCAAATGAGGGAAGCTGCGGCCCACCCCAAGCAATCCGCTCGTTTTTAAACATGAACCCATATCATAATGAATAGTGACTACTCATCGACAAGTGCCGAATTCCTTAATGGTGTTGGCAGGCAGAGGCTGCGCCTTTTGAAGCTTTCTTTACTCTTTTGAAATATGACACACATCACATTAAATAATGCATACCCTTAACCCTAAGAATCCCGAAAACCCTGAACCCTAAAAACCCTAAAAACCCTAAAGACTGTAAACCCTAACGACCCTAATCCAACCCTAAAAACCCTACAGACCCTAAAGACTCATCACCCTACACCCTTAAAACCTGAAACCCCTACAAGCCAAAACACCCTTTTTTTCCAATGCGCAAGCCTTTGTCAGAAAGGCCGTCAGCCACGACAGTTTTC